ACTCCTGGGATCATACAGGATCCTTAAAACCTGGCAATATGGCTATCCCACAACTCCTATAAGGGACTACAGAATCATTGAAAACCTGGCAATCTTTAACCCCCACAATGAAATATACACAATCTCTGATTGTTTGATCATATTGATCCTTCACAACACGTATATATACGGTACTATGATCACATAGGATCCTCGAAAACCAGGCAACTCCTACTTATAAAAGGGTCTCTTGAAGATCCCTGAATGCCATGCATTCTCTATCCCACACATCTCATATACATGGACTGTAATGAATCCCGGAATGCCTAGCAACCTTGTTTCTCCACAATTGCTGAGAATAATGGGTAAAACAATAGCAATATGGCAGACATTTCTTAATGCATGCCTCTCAACCGACCTTTACCAGTATTAGTTTTAAACAGTAGGAAGAACCCATCTAACCCAATTAAAACAGCTCTCCAAACTAAGCAAATTGTTGGCTATGCCAATGGGTCCAATGCAATGTCTCCCCCCACCCCCACTCCCATAATCTTGCCTTAATTAATTTTAATAATTTTGATGGTCCACAGAAAGAAATGGGATCTGTATGTGTTGGTACATTGTTATCTTTTGGTATCTGTGTTCAGATTTTGGTTAAACCTGAAATTAATCCTAGCGATTAATTTGTACAAAAACTCCTAATAAAAAGCCAATTTTAACTAAATGCATGTATGTAGTATTTTAATCTGTAAAGGCCCACTTTAAGCAGATACATGCAATCTTTGATGGGTATTTTAATCTGTAAAGAATTTCTGGCAGGCTGCCTCACAAGATAAAAGAGTAGATATCTATAGTCTAGTCTGTAGAGATTATGTGAACCATTGAAACCAATTAATACCTGCTAATACAAAAACAAATTACTTTCAGACTTACACTCGTTAAAGAGACATTTTACCAAATTTTGGGGATTCAAATGTTCAAAATGTGATTAACATCTATAGCTAGCTCAGTTTTAGGACTAACATACGTATTTATTTCAATAATTGGCTTACCTCATGAACAACTTAATCCATGCTAAAATTTATCAAATCGATTATTATACTAAACTTGGGCTGTCTGTCTACAGTTAGCTCTGCTTGAGAACAGGCACTAAGCTAGTTGAGAGACATTTTAAGTCCTTAATCAACGATTTTAGTCGAAAACACTAAGTATACTTCACATAATTATAAAAAGTATTTATTCTGCTTCCATTTAATAAAATTGAAAAAGTTTATTTAGTTTGTATGTGTATGACAGATGTGAAATTTTTGGATATGGCAGCCATTTAGGGCAGAGATCTTCTCTCAAAGTATGAAGTAAATGGATCTCTGTGTACAGAATGATCAATTATCTAATATTAACTAAGAAAAAAAGTATCAATGGATTGATAATCCTCGGTTTGGATGAAATAGAGCCACCAAATTCCTTTCACAATATTGTAGTTTGCAAGAGATTCCTCAATTCCTCAAATGATGATAAGAGACTTTAATTTTTAACCCAAATTAAAGAGACCACAAGGTAGCCCACATGAGAACAGAAATTCACAGATTTGCTATGATAAAAGTTGATTTGTTGCTAAATGTACCTTTAAAACCGTTCTCACCTGTCTACCTGTAGTAAGATGTTACACGGGAGATGATAGAACATGTACTCAATATATCTCTTTCTTCAGGTGTTACCCATATACACAAAAACAATAAATAACTTCAATTAACTTAAATTTATAGAAACTTTATACATTTACATCCTCACGTTTAGCAGAATACAAAAATATATATGGTGCATGGCACTGCATTCTGCATTTCGTAAAAATTCACCCCTTTAGTAATATTTTTATTCACCCATCAAAAAATAAATTTAAGTACCATAACTAATCTATAAAAAAAAATCTAAAATGGCAAATGGCCTTTGTCTGTTGGGTGATTGTCGGGGTCCAATCTTGTGGGTTTTCTCTGGGTCCTCCAGTTTCCTTCCACTGTTAATCCTGAAATAACTTAGTTTGTGTCGAGTCAACGCTACACCTCTCTTGCCCATTCTCAGGTGATGTTTGCTTTAGGTCTCTATGGCAAAGTCCCAAATCCACATTCAGGAAATTTATGTTTCCCCCTCTGATCCAAAAATATCTGTATCCACACTGCGTTCAGGATATGTTCTTGAATCTTTTAAGTACAAAAAAAAAAAAAAAAAAAAAAAAAAAAAAATTACTATAGAAGAAAAAAATGAAGAGGACAGGAATTGTGTGTAGTCAATTACCATCAATATTTGGTTTGTTTATATTCTTGTTTTATAATGATGTTGACAGGTTTCACCATCTTGATAATAAATCAGTTATTATGACATTTATACCAGTGCGATATATGGTGGAGATGCTGTGATTACTATTTTGACTGTTATCTCTACCTTGGTGCGTTTAAATAACCTGATCTACATATCTTGATAAGCCAACCACACTTTCTTTTACTTTCATCTATTTTTATCACACAACAACTTTCTACTGAATATTTACACAGTTTGTCATTCTCTTTATTTTAAGTACAAAAGTACTGTATAACAACTTTTTGTTAGTAATGTTAATTCCTCATTATCGAATAAAATGTGGTATCAGTTGTTCTAGAATTACTAAGCTTATGCCATGCACATCACGACACCTGATAATTTGTTAACTATGTGAATTTCTTGAATGGAAAGGGGTATGAGGTGTTCTAGAAATACCAAGATTACACCATGCACATTTTGACACCTGATTTTTTTAAATAATATTTGTTATAACTATGTGAATTTCTCAAATGAAAAGTGGTATATGATGTTCTAGAAAAAACTGTGATTATCTTGCGCTGTGCATGAACCTGATGATTTTAAATACAGTAAACTTCACATAAGTCGGATCTAAGTGGACTGACCAATTTTATCCGAGTTAAGCAAAGATCCGAGTTAGCCGAAGACCGAAATTCAATCTTAGCTAGATTAGAAATAGAAATAAACTGCAAGAGCCGGATAATAATTAATTCAAAGGCACATTTCAAGCTTTTGTTCGTATGTGTGAGTAGATAATTTCCATTTTGTCGCCATCTTTGAAAAATGTCCTAAATTTTCCCGGAATGTGTCTCGTACAGCAGACAGTGAGTTTCGAATTTTTCGGGAAAATTCTATTATTGCGTCTCATCAAATAAGCTTATTTGAGTCAAAATGAGAGGAAAGTATTTTGGGGCTCTGTGAATGGAATACCTAACCGCGTTTTAGACCATCAGGACTAAACTGACAGTGAAATTCTGAACGTACTGCCGATCCTACTTAGGAGAAGGAAAAAAGCCGAGTTGAGCGAAGGTCTGACCTAGGAAATCCGACTTACACGCAGAAATTTAATAAGAAATACGTGCAGGATCAAAGGGTCCAAATGATTTTATCCAAGTTGAATGAAGATCCGACTTATACAAATCCGACTAATGCGATGTTTACTGTAATAAGAATTTGTTGGCAATGTGATTTCCTCACTTGAGAAGTGGCATCAGATGTTCTAGGGAGACTATGGATTTGAGCTTTTAGAAACATCTAGATGTCTGACCTTTCAATGGTTTAAGTTTGAAATGTGCATTGTAATCAGATTTTCATATGTTGTAATCATGGTTTCGAAATCCCAGTTGTACAAGGAGTAGGGGTGCCTGTCTAACCTTGTAGGTTTTCTCCGGGTCCTCTGGTTTCCTCCCACTGCTAAAGACCCCTACATGCAAGCAAATTATTGAAATGAAATTAAACCATATGTTAGTCCCGAAATGACCTAGTTTGTGTGAGTGGACGTTAAACCCCATTACTCTCTCTCTCTCATATGTTGTAAATGTTCTCATTACTGACAAAAGAAAAAATATGCGACAACACTTGCTGACTACCCGGACCACTTAGCTGCTGTGGGTGTATGTTTTGTTGCCTGGCAACCTATCTTTTATCCATGTGGAGTAGACAGTACCTAGTTTTGTAGACTACAGAGAACCAGCAATAATTTGGTCTACCTTCTGTTTGTACAGCATTCTTGTAAAGATATTTATAGTTAATGCCATCCATGTGTTTCTTCATGCACATATGTTCATGTTTTTTGTAATTTTTAAATTATTTTATCACCCCACCCAATATCACCTTTTATTTGGTTTAATGTCACTCAACTATCTATTTCAAACAATCTGACATTAGTCATAATAAAAGTTGGTTTTGTAAGAAATTGATATTTTGAAAAAATTGTCAGATCTACTTTATATTAAAAGTAGCTCAGTCAGTGATGCAGGACGGAGGGCCTGACAAGGACAGCTGTCTAGTCCTTCGGATGAGACGAAAAACCGAGGTCCCGTGTAAACATTGGAAAGCACGTAAAAGATCCCTTGGCAGTTGGAATTCGATATAAGAGTAGGCGATAGTGCCTCTGCCCGGGCAAAATTTCCCTCATAGCACACTGTATGGCGTATGCCCGTCTTCATTAGCCCAGTATAGGAGCAGAACAGTAGGACGTTAAACCCCATTTCATTTCATTTCAGCTCAGTCTCTAATTCAATATCATCTACAGTCTTTGACATTGAAAACCTGACTTATTTGTCAATTTAAATCAACATTGATGTTGTGATCTTACCGGGAAAAGATGGGCTCCTGATATCCAATATTTAAGACTAAATAAGCATTTTACCAATGGTACACAAATCGTATACCAGAATGCATTTCAGCGCCATTTGTAACAAGGGACTCGAAGAACGAGGCTAGACATATTCCACGAGTCATGTCAAACGGTGATGCTATATTCTTATCTGGAGAGCATGTGCATTAATTACCGGTACTATCGGTGTAGACTGGAATAACCAGATGCTATGAGATGGCCATTCGATTGAGACTTAGGGCATATTTCACCGAACATAACTGATTTGAAATTTCTAGGTCCCAAATATTAGCAACAACACAATATTTTAATTACAGCCATGAAATTTGTCTTTCTCTTTTTTTTTCAGGTAATGCCATCAGGGTACGAAGCCAGCAAGGCACCAAAGACAGGAGTGTTTTTAACTGGTCTCACTATTCAGAACGCACTCTGGGATACCTCACGATCCATCTTGACAGAAAACTTCCCAGGAAATCCTGATAGTCAAGAAATGCCGCTTGTTTGGATAAACCCAGTTAACAAATCAGAACATTCAATGGATGTTAAAAATGACGTTTTCAATTGTCCATTATCTTGTAGTTGTGATCAAGCAATGCTCCGTGATGAAAATATCATTTACCATCTGCCATTACCGTCCTTACAGTCGTCACAAATATGGCAACAGAAACACATCTTTATTTCATCAAGTTTATCAAATGGTTAAAGCCTCGTTGATTGTCATTTGCATTTTTTTTTATGTTAAAATCTAATATTTTATGGCTTAATCCACTCTAAACTGATTATTTAACATTTAAGTACGAGAACAAAAACAAAATATTAAACATAGATAATCTCTCGGCTTGGATTCCATTGGATTAGAAAGTGACCCATGAAAAGACTCTACCCCTACCCAGCACCGATTGCTTAAAGAGAATGCTAAGTGTTGGGAAATTTAGAATGGAGATACAACTTTTATAATATTTTAATTTGAAAGGGATGCAAAGTCCATCAAATGACAATCAGCAGAAATAGTTAACTGTAGCTATACACATTGCTTGGTATTGATTTATCATCTTATGCAGGTGTGGTCAACTCCAAAATGCGGCTGTGTTTTCATGAACCAGTCACTGGAGGTCTGAGGAGCTTACTGGCTAATTTTTTTTAGGCCATTAATAAGTTTATTTTAGATGATTTTTTACACTAATTCTGTGATCTGACCAGTTTTCCGTCCTGTCTATTTTATATATGTTATTGCTCTTGACAGCATTATTGTAAATATTTCACTATGTTATTTAATTAACCAAATTGCTAATTGAAATTACCAAATAGATTCCATTATTTTAATTTAAATGTAGATTATTTCTCTATTTGAGTATTATTTGAAAATTGAAAAAATATGGAAATTAAATCAACTATATATAATTAGAAAGTAATGTGTAAAAATGTAAATATTGCAATGGTTAATGAATTTACAACATTTTCAGCATTCCTAGAATTTTAAAATGTGATAGAGTGATTCTTCATCTATTTCTAACTGTGATATTTAACTTAAATGTGTTTTTGTATTTTGTGTGTTGGGGATTTTAAAAGAATATTAATAATCTGAACAGTTATTATAAGTTAACAAATACCCTCTTGTTCAAAAGAAACTTGTTTATATTTAACTGTATGTGTAGAAATCATCCAGCCTGGATAACCTGTCCTACCTTTAAGTTCCGTCAGACTACCTGTATAATGGAGAGAATTCTATTAATATGGCATTAAATGCAAGAAATTATATGGTGACTTTATTTTAGTTGTCACCAGCGATTACTTACCATGTTATTAATTATTGAAGGAATGTTATAATATTAATTAGTAAGGTTATCCAGTCATGAGATCAATGAATGTTAGGCAGTCAGTCTTGAGATCACCAAGTCTCTTTTGAACAGGGGGTGCTGTAGTCTAATGGTTGACAAAAAATGAAAGCAATCAAGAATTCCAACTGGCATGCTATCATAGGCACCTTTTGATATAAATTTCCAAATAAATGAGTCAAATTTTCTACATGAAACACTAATAGTTAAAATTACTGTTTAAAAAGCTTAGCATGCTGACGCTTTCATTGAATAAAATTTTCTAGATCAGTCTTTAAAATGCCTGGTAGGCTATCATATATCATAGGCGTCATTGGATACAGACCTCCAAATAAATTAGTTGAATTTCTACATGAAACATCAGTTAAAATCAGTGTTTAAAATGGTGTGATGACCATGCCAGGAAGTACCATATGTATTAAAGAACAGCTTAGAGCACCTGTAGACTAGATCATTTATTATTATAACTATAAATACAAATAATTATATGACACATTATTTATTTTCTTCTCAATATTATTTACATTTTATTTACGTATATATTTCCTGAAGCTTTTGAGTGTCTTATATAATGTGTTTTACTGTTATATATTAGCCCCAGATTTGAAACCATTTCAGCATTCCAGTAAACTTAACTTTTTATTAATATTTTTAGAGTGATGCCAAAATGATAAGCAGAGTTTTTTTTACTAAATTATTTGTAAATAATATAATTTATATATTTAACTAATTATTATACTATTTGTTAATGTTTGATAAATATAAGTACTGCTGAAAATAAATTATAAAATTTCATGTCTTGTTCATAAATTCAGGGGCTGAGAACAACTTCCTCAGCGTGATTTGTGCCCCCCCTTATCAGAGGACTCCCCCAGGATGGAGGACCTGGCAAGGAAAACCACGCAAAAGAATTGGATAAAGTGTAGGCAGAAAGGCTGATATCTGGGTACAATTTCTGTCATAGCACACTGTGTATGCCTGGTAAATCTTTCTAAATTTGCATTCCTTACCCAAACTTTCCCCAAGAGTAGAGTCAGATTATGATTTTGTAAGGCATAGCAAGACAGTGTTGTGTTATGAATCTAGGAAACTCTTACAACTGTTCGTTCTGGGCTTCAGCCTCTAAAACCCATGCCTTAATTCAGCCCTGTTCAGAATGTACAAAACATATGCTTCAATCTTCTGGTGTAGGAGGGGATCACGTGGCTAAGTGGGTAAGACGCTGGCTCGCTAGCCTGGAGGTCGGGTGTTCGATCCCTGCATTGGCCGAGAAAGTTCATCCAGATTTTCTGGCGTGGTTCCCCTTTGTCTAGTCCTTCGGATGAAACGAAAAACCGAGGTCCCGTGTATACATTGGAATGCACGTAAAAGATCCCTTGGCAGTTGGAATTCGATATAAGAGTAGGCGATAGTGCCGCTGCCTGGGCAAAATTTCCCTCATAGCACACTGTATGGCGTATGCCCGTCTTCATTAGCCCAGTATAGGAGCAGAACAGTAGGAAGTTAAACCCCATTTCATTTTATTTCTGGTGTAGGAATGGGTGAAGATAATGTACTTAGATCTGTGACGTGATGGTAACAAAGACTTGATGGGCATCTGTAGGTGAAAATATAGTTGTAGCAACTCCTTTTGGTGGATGAAAGATGGGGCTTAAAGTTAACTTTAACGTCTCATCAAAAATTTCCTTATGCATTGAGGAAAACCCTACAACAATAGATACACAGCATGTTCCAGATTTGTGTCACCTTTGAACTGGAGAAAGAGAGTTGAATTTAACTTGGTCTTTTTTTAAAGATGCATTATGTAAGAGCTTGATCTTCCTATTGCAGGTCTTTGTCTACTTACAAATAATATATAAATTATTAATTTAAAGAAATTTATTCACACAAGAGCCCATAATAATTTAAAGGGACAATAACACTCTTGCTGGCTTGAAAGCTCCAGAAAATAAATAATATCTCTAAGTACTAGATGTTTAGGTGTCCTACCTGTTGTGTAAATTATCCATTAAATTCTATTTTACTTGTCCAGAGGGTTCGAAAATATTTTTAAATCGAAGTTTCATTTGAAAAGATTTACGTTAGACGTTTCAAACCATTATGTTGAATTTTTCAAAATTTTTAAATCAGGTGTGTTAAGATGAAATTTGTACCATCAATTAATTGGAATATTGTATAATAGTACAATTTGTTGACCAGAATAAAGATTGGGACATATTATTCAGTTACAACAAGAGTGGTATTGAGCCTTTAATTTGGATATTATTATCGTAGTAATGATACTCCACACTTGAGACTGCCAATTCAATTACGATTGACCTGAAACTAGACGGGCTTGTTCCTTGGACAATTGGGCATCACAATTCCAAGATGGTGGTGATGTCTTTTCCAGAATCCTGGTCCATATTTTACTTGTTATTGGGTTAACAAGGCCATGGAACAATGAGTTTTTTAAGGTTAGGACATTTAATCAGTCTTCTATATATAATCGAATCCCCGGTTGTACGTGACAAAGAGTAGGGTCGCCTGTCCAACCTCGTGGGTTTTCTCCGGGTCCTCCGGTTTCCTCCCACTGCTAAAGACCCCTACTTGCAAGCGAATTATTGAAATAAAATTAAAACCATATGTTAGTCCCGAAATGACCTAGTTTGTGTCGAGTGGACGTTAAACCCCATTTCTCTCTCTATATATATATATATAATACAAGACTATTACAGTTCACTGGCTACAATCCCATACTAGCTTTTTACAATATGAACCCCCCAAATCTATAGACAAGACAGACTTTTAAAAAGCTTATACCCGATTTACTCAAAGGCTGGGCTAAATCTGGAAAAACAAATTGCACACTAAACATGAAACAATGTCAGATAGTCGACATAAGAAGTTGATAATTTGCCAAATAGCAATAATGGATGCAATACAATATTTGGGCTGGCTGAAAAGTTCTAAGCCTATCGTGAAAGACCAGTATAAAGTCAATGGTTACCATTTGTTTTTCTACATATATAGTTCCCTTCCAGGTGTTCACCCTTTTGCCAACAAGGTTGCAAGGCCTGGATGCCGGTCAGGAAGAAGGGGGTTGGATGGCTGAGTGGTTAACATGTGCTCGTTGGATCATAAGGTCTGTCATTGAATCAACTGGCGTGGTTTCGTTTCCCCGGTTGAACGTGACAAGGAGTAGGGTTGCCTGTCCAACCTTGTGGGTTTTCTCTGTGCCCTCCCACTGCTAAAGACCCCCACGCGCAAGCAAATTATTGAAATAAAATTTAACCATGTTAGTCCCAAAATGACCTAGTTTGTGTTGAGTGGAAGTTAAATCCCATTTTCAGGAGGAAATTTTCTTCAGCCATCCTAAAAAGTTGTCCACAGCTGATATAAATTCATCATTACTAGGAAAATGACAGTGGTCTGAGAGGGCCAAATCGGGCGGAAATTTATCAAGATTTGCTTCAAACTGTAAAAACTGTGCAAATCGTCACAGAAAATCAGGAATCTGACACATTTCTGATCGCAGTCAAGAGCTTTGGCAACCATCTTGCCCCACAACACTGCCAATACATGTATGTCAAGTTGTCGATCAGCCATCACTATGTCATACACCCCCGGTAATCTTTTCTTGGTTGATGTTGATGGCCTATCAGGACGCAGGCCACTTTTTTACTGTGGGAAAGGAAGGGGCATCATCCCCAAAAGTGGAGACCATGTCGGAATATATCTGTGTTGGGGTTAGTCCTTTCAGTTGCCAGTACTTGATGACTGTCCTATAGCCAGTTTTGTCCATTTCTGGTGATTTCAATAGGTAGGTTCACAAGATCGTCCAGTAGACAATAATTACAGTTGCAGTTCTTATGTCTATGATTCATTCAATGATTGCACTTGTTGGTGGCTAAAGTTTGTTTAAATCCAACTGATGTATTGTTTTCAGCCAGCCCTCGCACATATATCGTAAAGGGATTATTTCTTGTGTTCTAGACCTCCCAGTCTCAAACTTGCCAACTCAGAAATTCTAGGTCCCCTTTCCCAGGTTCTGTAGTTTTAAGAATTTAACATGGTGTTTCTCTCACTATGCTTTAAACAGTATTTTAAATTCCAGTGGAAATGTGCAATGCCAGAGAGGGGGAATTTTTCCAGACATAGAATGATTCTTTTAGGCCCATGCCCAGATAAAATCCTGGGATTATAGTTGAGAACTCCGATACCGTAAGCCCTTTTGTTCAGCATGCGGTTAACCAATGGACCTCAGTTTGAAATCATGTGGGGTTCAAGTATGACAATCAGGATTTTTAAAGGTCAATTCCTGTTTGAACCTATTTAGAAGAGTGGTAAGGTTGTTATTGGTCAACTTGCAAATGTGAAATGTAGACAGGACACAAGTTGACTAGGCTTATCGGGTTTTATTACACTAACGAATGCTGAATAGGAGACTTGTGGAGGAACACTAGTCTACTTTTATTTCAAATTCTAACTGACAAGGGTTCTATTATGTGTATACCGGAACTCATTTTTAGTTCCATCCAAATAACTAATCATTGTTCCTTGCCAGGCCCAGAAACTCCAGAGAAACTGTGGCAACAACTTGACATCCAGGTCGCCCTGGGTTCGATTGTTTTTAGTTCCATCCAAATGACTAATCACTGTTCCGTGCCAAAAGCATGATCGAACGAAGGGCGACCTGGTAATCAAGCCAGCGCCTTACTCCACAGAGCCACAAAGACAAGAGAATCCAAGTTGAAATGTCATCAAGAAAATGGATTCCATAGAATCGTGTATTTCCTGTTCAACTACTAAATGCAATTGGAGAGCAAGAAAATCTGTGCCAAATAAAAAATGAATGAAGAAAGAATTAAGACGGAAACATATTTATTGATTAGGATTTACAAACATTTACTCAATTGATACACCACAATTATTTCTATCATTAGTCCATATACATTCATCAAACCATTATATAATTAAAGATCAAAGTCCAGTACTTTATACAATAACCATGTAGACAGACTTCTTTAATAAAGATCTAAGCTGTGCTTAAGTTTCTTAATAAAACAATCATATCAACTTGATCAAAGATCCAAGTCGAGTTCAACAAGTTTTTTTAGTTCCCGAGTTGAGTTCACATTTTCTTTTTTTTTTTATCTAGAACAAGATGCATGCAGAGTTCTTTATTGAACTCATACAAAACTAAGTAAGCAATTATCAAAAATCAGGAATTCTTAATTATTGAACCAAGCAGATTTTGGGGTCAAACATTTATAGAAACAAGTCAAATTCTTTACAAAGAACTTTTTACCTGGATCTCCAATCTTCAAGTTGGACCCTTTATTAAAGATCCAAAATCCAGTTCTTTTCAAGACAAAATCAAAATCTGTTATGGCAATAAAAAAAAACTAGTTCAAGTCGACAACTTATTGAGCTCTACTTCACATAGCTAAATTCCACTAGTTCATAAACCTGTACCTTTAATTATATTTAACGCTTTACACATGTACACCTAGTGTCAAAAATACTCAGAATATATATGCACACATCAAAACAATCTCATTAAAAATCAGATATCAATTACATTTCTTTTTATTTTCTTGTTGCACTACAATGACATCCAATACATTTTCTTTGTAACTTGAGATCACATGTTCTTAATGACCAATCAAATCATCTGTATTTGTATACAGGGCTTTGTTTCATGGTGAATAAAGGCAATTTAAAAAAAAGAAAGAAGGAATACTGTTTGCATGAACGATTATCATAGTCGGAGTGAGGTGAAAAAA